ATGTAAAATTGACATCATGGCTAAGCTGTAAATTATTCCCGTTTCTTTAGAATATCCTCATAGCAATCTCTCAAGTTCATTTGGTGATGAGTCTGGGACTATTTAGTAAAGTAGGTTCTAATATTTATCACACTGTTTTAACTTTCACAGATTAAAGAACATCTTGCAAAAGGACAGAGGACACTGGCAGGTGAAGGAATGTCCCAGGTGACGAAGACCCTTCTGGATTTAACTCAGAGGAAGAATTTTTATGCCGGGGATCTCTTGGTTTCTGTGGAAATTCTCAGAAATGTTACAGATACATTTAAAAGAGCAAGCTACATTCCAGCTTCTGATGGGGTCCAGGTAAGCGAAACTAGTAGTAGAGCATAGCTAAGTTGCCATAGCTAAGTAAGTAGAATGTTCTTGGCATCTCCAGTTAAAATGATCTCTGGTAAGGAGAGCAGCTGCCTGAGACCTTAGAGAGCTACTTCCACTGAGAGGACCAAACACTGGACTAGAATCATAGAATCATAGAATCATAGAGTTGGAAGAGACCACAAGGGCCATCGAGTCCAACCCCCTGCCAAGCAGGAAACACCATCAGAGCACTCCTGACATATGGTTGTCAAGCCTCTGCTTAAAGACCTCCAAAGAAGGAGACTCCACCACACTCCTTGGCAGCAAATTCCACTGTCGAACAGCTCTTACTGTCAGGAAGTTCTTCCTAATGTTTAGGTGGAATCTTCTTTCTTGTAGTTTGGATCCATTGCTCCGTGTCCGCTTCTCTGGAGCAGCAGAAAACAACCTTTCTCCCTCCTCTATGTGACATCCTTTTATATATTTGAACATGGCTATCATATCACCCCTTAACCTCCTCTTCTCCAGGCTAAACATGCCCAGCTCCCTTAGCCGTTCCTCATAAGGCATCGTTTCCAGGCCTTTGACCATTTTGGTTGCCCTCCTCTGGACACGTTCCAGTTTGTCAGTGTCCTTCTTGAACTGTGGTGCCCAGAACTGGACACAGTACTCCAGGTGAGGTCTGACCAGAGCAGAATACAGTGGCACTAGGAGAAGACTAGATCTCTCTTCTCCAATATGGTACCCTCCATCTGTTGTGGACTACAACTCCCATCTGCCCCAGATAGCATGACCAGTGCAGGAGAGGAGAGTAGGAGAGCTCAGCTTTGGCAGTTACGTGAAATCTGTTTCTGCATTCCACATTCTGTTTTTACATTCACTATGTAGTGAATGGCCACTAGGATTAAAGGCACGACAGTTTTCATTATTGCTGGCATGTAATATTTGATAGGAAATTGATGCTCTGTAATTGGCATACCTGCCTTCAATACAGACTCGATTGGTTGCAAAGCCAGCACAATTAATTGTTTTGTCACACTGAGCTATGAGATAGCTGGAAGTGCACCACCTCCTGAACATATGTGCTGATTCAGAAAGTCTTTGTATCAGGCATTTAGGCTGCAGCAAAAGCAAACATAACAATGGCAACATCGTTAATTTGACACCGTATATCCTAGGTACTTCAATCTGATAAAGCCACATCCTAATTAGTGTTAAAAGAGAAGACAACAAAGGCTGCTTTAACTCAACTCTACAGTCAGACCCAGACAGAGAGGATAGTAGTTTTGCTCATCCTTAAAATAAAATTTAAAAACCCACTGTGGGCAGCATGAGAAGAATTTAAGATAAGCCCCAAAGCTTCTCTTTTTCCAATGTTCTGTTTCCTGCAGTGGCCAATGAGATGCCAGTGGGAAGCTCACAAACAGACACATGAAGGCAATAGCCTTCTCACACTGTTATTATCTGGTGACTGGTATTCAGAGGCGCGCTGCCTCTGATCTTGCTGGTGGCGCAAAACCATCCTGAATAGTAGCCACCGAGAGCCATTTCTTGTATATATTTAGCTAATCACAATAGACATAATCTTTCTTAAGCACACCTCCTGTATCAAAACCTAAAGCAGAATATTAAGTAGTAAGAATGGCCATGAACACTAGTGTCTGGTGGTCCCAGATATAACCTAAAGGCACATGAGACCACCAACTTGCTGAAATTAAGCAGGTCTGGATCTAGTCAATGTGTGCATGGGTGATTGCTTGGGAACCATATGTACACTGCCTTGGGTCTCATGATGGAAGAAAGGGAGGGTATTAATTTAAGGGAATAAATAAATAAAATGACCATCCATTAAGCTTTTCAGAATGGATCCTGCAACTGTCTGCTAGGACAATAAATTATTTTAATTAGATGATAGCAGTGTGACTTTAATTGAAGTCTATGAGAGGAAAGAACTTCATGCAGGCTAATAACTTTGCATATATGGACTGCATTTTTCTGGGCTTCCTGTACCAAACTTTTCCTTTAAAAAAAACCCCACAGAAATTTGCATGTCCATCCAGCACAGAATTGACATTATTCTGACCATTTCCTGTAGTTTTAGATTTCATCTTGAACTACTGTCATTAAGAGTTTACAGCTTTTTAAGTAAGTAAGAAAGTACCCCCCCCCAATACCTCCTTGATGCAAACTTTCTTTCTACAATGGCAAAGAAATTACACTGCAGGGGCAAATACAGATGTGCTGGTTTATTTACGCATGGCTGGATGCAGGATTGCATGTTCTTTACCCACAACTCCTCAAACCCTGCCTGAAAACAGCTGATATCTTGATGCTAACCTTCTTGATAAACCCAGGATCTGAAACCATACAAATATGAACACATTTGCAGTGTTGTTTCTGCAGCACCCTACTGTATCCCAAAGTCAAATGTTGAGTATGCATTTAACACTGGCCCACACTTGTGGTTTGTTTTTGTTTTTCTGACAAAGAATCTTAGAGTTGGAAGGGATCCTGGGGGTCATGGAAGGGATCCTGGGGGTCATCTAGTCCAACCCCTGCAATGCAGGAATCTCAGCTAGAGCATCCATGACAGATGGCCACCCAGCCTGTTTAAAAACCTCCAAAGAAGGAGAGTCCACCACCTCTTGTGGGAGTCTGTTCCACTGCTGAACAGCTCTTACTGTCAGAAAGATTTTCAAAACGTTTAGTTGGCATCTCCTTTCTTGCAACTTGAAGACTTTGGTCGGAGTCCTACCCTCCAGAGCAGGAGAAAACAAGCATGCTCCCTCCTCCATGTGACAGCCCTTAAGATATTTGAAGATGGCTATCATATCTCTTCTCAGTCTCCTCTTTCCAGGCTAAACATACCCAGCTCCTTCAAGCGCTCCTCATAAGGCTTAGTTTCCAGGCCCTTGATCATCTGGTTGCCCTGCTCTGCACCCATTCCAGCTTGTCAACATCCTTCTTAAATTGTGGTGCCCAGAATTGGACACAGTATTCCAAGTGTGGTCTGACTAAGGCAGAATAGAGTGGTTCTATTACTTCCCTTGATCTGGACACTATACTTCTGTTGATGCAGCCTAGAATAGCATTACCTATTCATGTGTCTCAGCTTGCTAAGCACCTATACTTGAGGCATAAACTGAAAAAAGAGACAGAAAACAGATGTTGCTGTAAATTGACTCTGGCTGTAGGATGTTTCCATCATCTGCTGCAGAACTTTCATTAAGGATTCATGGAAAAGTGAAGAGTTAAAGTCAACCAGGTTGCTTAGGCTCTTGTCCTGCTTTTTAAAAAAATGCCTCAAATGTTCATAGAAACACAGCAGCCTAGATTTTAAGTTCCCATGAGCTGAACTCTGCTCACATTCTTGCATATGGGGAGGGGGGGGAGAGCACTTTTTTTTTTTTTTTGCAATTATCTGTTCCATCTTGTAGCCCCTATACAGTGTGGGGTGGCAGCACAGGGGCAAGAAAAAGGTCAGGGGGTCTTTTTCAGCCAGAACTCGCTAGAACTCAGTTCCAGCACCTTTCAGGTGGGTTCCATTGCCATTATAAAGAGAACAAGGGAGGCGTTCATGGTGAGTTCCAGCACCTCTTTTTCTAGAAAAATAGCACTGAGAAAAGTGCAATGAAAATCCTCTTTCCCACTTCCACATGCAGAAAGTGCATATGAACAGAAGGGAAGCTTAAGATTGAAGCCAGAGTTAGTTAGTTAGTTAGTTAGTTAGTTAGTTAGTTAGTTAGTTAGTTTCCAGTATATATATTTTCCATCATTTGTTATGAAAGTAATCACAATATTCATAATAGAATAATATTTATGAGAATGTGAAATCAACAGTAAAATAATGACACAAATATGTGAATCTAAAACAATTACCTTTGATCAAACAACAAATAATCATCACAGGCCATTTTCATACTTCAGAAGGCCTAGCAGAATAAGAATCTTGTCAGCTGGTGATGAAAATTAGCTAACATGGGTGCCAACCTAATCTCAGGAGGAAATGTGTGCTGTTAATCAAAGTTGTTGCTTTAATTCTAAACCTTTCTCTCTCTTTAAAATTCTACACGTGCTTTAAGCATTTACATTTATTGTCCTTTAAGCAGTTAGGGACGCGGGTGCGCTGTGGGTAAAACCTCAGCGGCCCTAGGGCTTGCCGATCGAAGGTCGGCGGTTCGATCCCCGCGGCGGGGTGCGCTCCCGTCTGTCGGGTCCCAGCGCCTGCCAACCTAGCCAGTCGAAAGCACCCCCGGGTGCAAGTAGTAAATAAGGGACCTGCTTACTAGCGGGAAGCGTAAAACGGCGTCCGTGTGCGGCTCTGGCTCGCCAGAGCAGCGATGATCACGCTGGCCACGTGACCCGGGAAGTGTCTCCGGACAGCGCTGGCCCACGGCCTATAAGTGAAGATGCGGCGCACAACCCTAGAGGTCTGGCAAGACTAGCCCGTACGCGGCAGGGTAACCTTACCATTTACCTAAGCAGTTAGGACACACTTTATTAATTCAGTTACTAATACAATGCATTGCCACACACACGGAGATTTTAGCTTGCAAACTTCCTGACCAAGTTACCTGGAAACGTTTCTTCAGTGGTATGTTATGCCTTTATATATCTGTAGTAAATGTTATTTTAAAATTGTAGCACAGTTCTCATAAAATTGGTGTGGATGGTCTATTCACGAGGATTTTGGATAACAATCAGAAGAGATTCCTTATCTGGGGCAACCATGATTTCATGGTTCTTTGATCTAATCCCGAGAAAGGTTAGATCAGTCTGGGGATCGATATCTCTCACTGTGCTTTTTGCTTTCATCATGAGTTGATGAAGGAGACCAGCATATTGTACTGTAGTTGAGTTGTCAAGAGTGGTTCTGACTGGGATGCCTTCTGCATTTACGACAATAGCTCCAATAACTCCTTTATGTGACTGGATCCTCTTTAAAGTTTCTTCTACCTCTGCCACTGCTCAGCTGGGAAGGCTCAAAGGCCTCCATTTTTTAAATATCTTGAGAGTTGTACCAAACGTCTGAGTGCCCAAGCAATGCCTGAAATTGATTTGAATAAATATCTGCTAAATATTTAATTGAAGTCACAAAGCATTTGCTTTGTACCAGTCTAGTTTGTCTTAATTCTTTGCAAACAATTATAATGTATTATTAAAACATGTTGCAACTCGGGTGTTAAAAAGGAGCAACCTGAGTGGTCCACCAGCTTTTCAGGCCTGAAATTTGAGAAAGTGTCATGAAGAGAATAAAATGGTGGCCTTGATAAGTGTGGCTAGTCAAAATTTGCAGCCGCAACTAAATACCTATTTTCATAGATAGTATGGTGAGGCTGAAAGAGAAGACACGTACCCAAAAAACCGAGTACAAGATAGAGTTTGGATCTGAGACCCAAATACCAAGCCACATATTTGACTCCACATAGCATCCCAAAGCATCAGCCTAGCAGAAAGCAAAATGCTAAAGCTGAGAGATAACACACCTATTGTCCACCTCTTCTCACCCCACCACACACCACTTCCTAACTTCATCTGCCCCAACTGCCTTTCTTTCTAAAGTTTCAATCCTCTGCATAGTTGCATCAGAGTAAGTCCCATTGTATTCCGTGGAATTCCCCCCCCCCCCCGAATAGACCTTCACAGGATTGCGGTCCATCCCATCTCACTCTTTATTTCTCTTTATCCAGACCCACCAGGAAACAAGTTTTCCTTGCTTCTCTTTTGATTCTTCCTTTGACTCATCCACTCTCTTCCTGTCAACCCTGCTCAACAAAGAGCTGGAGTAAAAATGTATGAGCCTAGTGGCGCCATCCAGTGTTCCCCTGGATGGCTTTTGGCAGAATCAGATTCTCTAAGCTGGAATCTAGCCCAGAATTCATCAGATTCCAGCATATCTCTTTAGAAACAGGCCCCAGAACAACTGCTATGTTTCTAGTATGTCCTGCAATGCACATTGATTACATCATGACATTAAGTTGATTCATAACACTTTGCAGTCTTTGGATATGTGCAAGGAGTTCATGAAGCTTTTTTTAATATATATACACAAAGCATGCTAAGTATTTAAGTATCTCACCATAGGGAAGGTGAACTATGTCAGCAATGGCACACATAAATGTTTGTGGGCCATGGCAGGTCTTGCATGTGTGTGGTGAGGTTGCATATTTGAGATGTTGGCATTGCATGTACCAAAGTTTCTGAAGTAGCATGCACATCAGTGATGGTGTCAGGCCTTGACATGGCACAAACTTCCACAAAGGTAATCATAATAATAATAAATTTCTATTTATACCCCACCCTTCCCGGTTTAAAAACCGGGCTCAGGGCGGCTAACAGCAAATATAAAACATTGATTAAAATGTGACTTTAAAACAGCATAAAACAGCATAGAATACAACATAAAATGAGCATTAATATCAATAAAATTCAAAAATTCAGGGGTCATTTTTGGGGGGTACCCCAGTCAGTAGACATCGAATGATCACCAGGGCTAACTGGCCAAGCTGGTCCTACTAGGGCCAGCAAGGATGCGTGTGAATAAGAATTTAAATGTGGGGTCCCAGAAAGGGTTTCTTCATAGAAGAGGAAAGGGAAAAGGAAATAGAGGATCAGGCTAATTCAAATTGTAGGCCAGGTGGAATAGTTCTGTCTTACAGGCCCTGCGGAAGGAGATCAAGTCTGGTACAAGGACTGGTAAAGTCAAAATACAAAAGCCCACTAAACTCTTAACAATTTGCACTTTACTGAAAAAATCTTTCAGATCCATTCTGAATTGTTTGCTGTAGTTGATACAGGCCCAGTAGAGGTAACTTTGGCCCCAGCTTTTCCAGTGATAATGGATTCTTTCCCATTTGTACAACCCAAGAATGTGAAGGGATCCTTGGAGAGCTACCACGTGTGTGCTAGATCGTTACCCTTCCTGTCTCATTAAATAGGCCACTGGGGAACTGGCCAAGGAGGTAAAGGGAATGGTCAGTGCCTCCTTACAGCAAGTCAGGATCCTAGTATGCCTGAAGGAGGCAGTGTTAAGACCTCTATTGAAAAATCCTTCCCTGAATCCCACCATATTGGATAATTACCAGCAGTTTCTAGCACTGCATTTCTGGGCTAGGTGAAGTCCCATCTCCAGGGGTTTCGAGAAGAGATGGATTATCTAGATCCATTTCACTCTAGTTTCAAGCCTGGTTGTGGGACAGAAGAGTCTTTGGTCACCTAGGTGGACGACTTGCACCAGGAATTGGACAAGGGGTGTGTGTCCCTATTGGATCTGCTGGACCTTTCAGCGGCTTTCGTTACCATCACCCACAGTATCCTCTCCATCTGATCCTTGAGCTCTCCCGGGGCCTATAAGCAAATCCACAATGGATTTCTCCCATGTAGAATGCATGCAAACATTCAAGTGGAAATATCCAGAGGAGCGACAGGCAAGCCTAGTGGAATAATTTCACTGTCCACCCATGAATAGTGCCTACCCACAAAGAATATTATTCAGACAGGGCCTCTCATTTAGTACCATGAGTGCCCTAAAAAGGTAAAGGGACCTCTGACCATTAGGTCCAGTCATGGCTGACTCTGGGGTTGCAGCGCTCATCTCACTTTGTTGGCTGAGGGAGCCAGCGTACAGCTTCTGGGTCATGTGGCCAGCCAGCATGACTAAGCCGCTTCTGGTGAACCAGAGCAGCGCACGGAAACGCCGTTTACCTTCCCGCAGGAGTGGTACCTATTTATCTACTTGCACTTTGACGTGCTTTCAAACTGCTAGGTTGGCAGGAGCAGGGACCAAGCAATGGGAGCTCACCCCGTCGCGGGGATTTGAACCGCCGACCTTCTGATTGGCAAGTCCTAGGCTCTGTGGTTTAACCCGCAGCGCCACCCACGTCCCTAGGTGCTGAAAAATTCTTCATAGGAGAGAAAACAACACCAGCATTTCAAAATATGGGGGGGGGGGAGAACAATAAATGTACCACTAATTCTGTTTTTAGAGCTTGTTGGCTTAAAATCGCATTGCTTTTTAGATGTTTTGCATTGTGCTAATAAGACATTTAAAGCTAAATTAAAATCAATAAGGCTCTCTGGACATTTTTAACATGAAAGCCTTTCTTTGTGGCCTTTAATTAACCTTTTAGAAGTATGGACACATTTAGGGGATGTCTGTGTTAGCCTTGTAATCTTTTATGCTTCCAGAGGTGTTGGGAAGGGAATAATTATAGAAATGGTTATCTCTTTAGGGAGGAATATTGTAGGTTAAGCTCCTTCTCATCTCATATTCACAATGGGCTATATATTACTGCTGTTCCAGTGATGCAGTGTAGGATATTAGAGGGGTGTGTTACATATTTGCTGGCAAATATATTGGGGATCTGATTCATCAGATCCCCAATGTAAATTAAATGAAGAGTTCCCCCACTGCCTTGATATTGAAGACTGGATCGAGTCTTTAGAATTGTCTTTCCCGTTTCTAATTAGTCAGTGTAGTAATTTTTGCACTTTTGAATTTTCTAATTAAGGGTTTATTCACATTATGATGCCACTTAATGGCTTTCCAGCAATTTCGGAGAAGGGCTTTAACTCAGTTGTGGAGCACATGCAGGGCACACAGAATGTCACAGGTTCAGTCCCTGGCATCTCCAGGTATGGCTGATAACGGTCCCCTGCCTGAAATCAGTGTACACAGTACCAAGCTAAATGGAACAATGGTTTGGCATGATATACAACAACCTCCTATAGTCTATGTTCAGGAAAGGCCTCTTTGTTACCTGTTTTAAATCACCCTATAGCCCAAATTCAACCAACATTCAAAATAAGTTATGAAGACAGGTGTTTGATATGAAATGTAATGGTAGTATATTAATAGACAATCCACAGTGTGTGGTGTGTCAGTTGCAGAAATAGGCAAGGTGAACACCACAATGTACTTAGAGATTTTGTTATTAAAGTTTTGGCAACAATTGGTTTAGCTGCCATGTTGCTATGAATATATATAATTAATGGAATTAACATTTACAAACATTAAGTATGTTTAGACATAACTGCGGTGCAGAACTGGTTTTTTGAGTAGTTTTATGTGTCTTCTGTAGAAGTAGGGTACTACAGTGGTACCTCGGGTTACATATGCTTCAGGTTACATACGCTTCAGGTTATAGACTCCGCTAACCCAGAAATAGTGCTTCAGGTTAAGAACTTTGCTTCAGGATAAGAACAGAAATCGGGCTCCAGTGGCGCGGCGTCAGCAGGAGGCCCCATTAGCTAAAGTGGTGCTTCAGGTTAAGAACAGTTTCAGGTTAAGAACGGACCTCCGGAACGAATTAAGTACCGGGTACTTAACCCGAGGTACCACTGTATGCACATACCAAGATTATATTGGTAGTGATGAAGTATTTAAACTCTTCTCTGCAGTAATATGCATTATGAATTACTTGGGAACAAATTCCAGGGTGTTCAAAAAGAGTCAGTGATCTTTAGCATGTGCTTAGGAGAGGACCTCCATTATGACATAATCTGGAGCTGCTTTCATGATGTAGTTGTGAAAGTGAAAACCTTTCCCCCACACTTATAATCAAGTGTGAAGGATCGGTGTGTGTGTGTTTGATCATATGAATTTTAACTTTAATTAGCCACTGTGCAAAGTCACTGAGTGATGTGAAAAGCTTTCCTCCCCATGTGGAGATGTAAAATATGGAAGACAGAAAGGTTAGTATTTTAAATATTTATCCCCACAATGCAGAAAGGACGTGCTTCAGCCTCCAAAGAGTGTTCAGGATTTGAACACAGATTTATTTGTGGTTTGGCACTCTCACGTCACATTCGCAACAACGGGTCTAGACACAAGATGACCAGACTATGCCCTGGCTTTGAAAACTTAGATTTATTTTGACAGCTAATATTTGGAATGCCAGCATGCCATAATTTCTGAAGAACTGAGGGCTAGATTATGCATCACAAACATTGAGTTTGTGTGCTTAACTCTTCCTACCAAGGGCGCCGACTTAGAAAAAATATTGGGGGGGCCCATACCGGGGTGAACCTGTGAAGGCCCGCCCTTTGCGGCAGCCGATTGGCTGCCACCGTGGGCGGTGAATATTAATGAGCTAGGGGGAATCCCCGCTTCTCGCGGGGCTGACGCCAGCCCCGCGAGATTGTTGATGGGTCGAGAGCCCGCAACCCCACCCCCTCTCTAGATCGTATAACTAATAATTTTCTTAAAAATTCTTAAACGAATTTTTGAGGGGGCTCGGGCCCCCTCAGGCCCCATGGAGTCGGCGCCTATGCTTCCTACATCTGCCTCCTTCCTCCCATAGCTTCTCCCTCCAGATCCTGTTAATCTACTTGGATTTATGGGTGTATGTATGTTATGTCACAGGGAAAAATGGACCCAGGCAGCAGATGAGGGAAAAAAGAGGCAAGTGGAAGAAAGGTTAAGACCCTTCTATCCACCACTTCCCCACCCCTAGGAAATCATGTTTACCCCCACATTGCTTTGCAGCCATTTGGCAGAAACCCAGGTTCCCATATGTCTTGTTCAACCCTTAATGACACCTGTTATGAGGGTCAGTACAATGTGTGGCACCACCTTAAGCAGCTATCCTACTACTGCTCTCATCTGTTACTCCTTCACCTCTCCTCCCTTACTTTTAACTTGTTTTGCCATTGACAATGTGGGTGTAGCATGGGGAGTCTCTCCACTTTCTGTGAGCAAGGGGGTCCTTCCTCAGAGTGAGGCATTATGGGTAAGGTGGTCCTGGAGAGTGCCTGTGCCACTGCCACTTTGTCGGGGCAACTAGAAATTCTCTTTACAGATTAGTTGGAGGTTTAAAGTTATTTTAGTATTTTTAGCTCTCTCTATTTCTTTTTAATAAGCATTTCTAGCTGCTGGGGTAAAGCTACAGCATTGCGAGCACTCTCCTGGTCACCTCAGCTATAAGACCTTGCCCTTAGAAAGATACATGACGATGAGATGGGCACTTTGCAGAACACTTTGACAGGAATCTTTCTCAGATGGGTGGTGGCTGCAGGAGTGGCCAGCCATGATCATCATGATCATCATGATCATCATTTTTTATTTGTATGCCACCTTTCCACAGTTAAAAAACAATGCTCAAGGCAGCTTGCAGCATAACAAGATTTACATACCGGTAATTACAAAAGTCATAAACAATAAATAAACCACATTAAAAAATACGCAATCAAATGGGAAACAATTTCCACATAAATCAAAATCTAAAACTAAGAATACAGCATTAATGTCACTGTTTAAAATGACCTAGGTAACAAATAACAGCAATTTAAACAAAAAACAAAACCAAAACAAAACGGAGCCCACTCCTCCCAGCAGCAGCAGCAGTGGCGGCAGCAGTCCTTTATAGAGGCCATCAGGCCCCGCCCTAGGCCAGGTGTTGAGTGGCAGGACTGGTTCCCTCAGGCACTGAGCAGCGGAGTAATGTTGCATTGATTTGCTGTTCCCCAGCTCCCACTGCTGAGGCAGTTGTCTCATTTCACCTCATGATAGGGCCAGCCCTGTCTAGCAACATCTATTTTCATTTTGAAAAAGTGATTGGAACAGAAGGAATATAGAATGAATATATTGTGTTCACGTTTGGTTAAGCACAGTGCAAAAAACAGTACAGTTTGGCTTCTTTTTGACCTTGGATCAATCTGAAGGCCTGCATTTTAAAATGTAAATAGTAACAGGATAATTGACAGACTATGGACAAACCTGGATTACTTATAAAAAAAAAGTTATCGAAACTGCACCCAACTTTTACAGCTAAAGAAGAAGTGGTATAAATAGATTGAAGTATTTATTGTGGTTAAAAATAGAGTTTTGAGAATAACTTGAAAGAAACCAATTGACAGAAAATGTGTTATTTAAAAGCCACCTAGTACAATCCTAGATGTGGACTGTCCAAGATGTGGTTCATGTAAATATATTCCAGTAAGCAGGCTATAGAAACTAATAACTTAAGCTCAAAAAGGTTGAGAAAAGTATCTTTTTATATTTCAGTTTCTACTTCTGACAGAAAAAAGTGTGTAATGGCATTTACAAGGCTGAAACTTTTAATTGGTTTACCGGGTAGAATAGGATTGTGCTGCATAGGTTTGGCTTATTCATTATTGGCGGGCAATGTTAATTAATGAGACAAAATTTGTGAAGAAACGATTCAGGGACACAATTGTTTGCTCTTGTAGTTAAGACCATTTTGGTACTGGCCACATAACAGGGAATGAAAGACAAAATAAGAAAAATGGCCTTTCTTCAACAATGGATTGCAACTTTTGCTTAACAGATGGTAGCTTTTCTTAACACTTTAGAAAGGCCTGCATGGTTGTGATAACATGTGAACTGATTGCCATAGCTGGCAACCTCACTAGTCCATACAGTTCAATATA